TGCTAAATGGGACAGAGCACTGCTATCAGGAAAGACTTTTTGCTTGTCCTTTCTGTCACCGAGGACCAGTGCTCTTATGGCTCCGAAATGCATGTGCCATTTAAGCACAGCAAGACTAAAACCAGCTGTTGACTAACACACTTTGTATTCTCACTGAAGATTATGCCTATTGTTACTGTTTCTGTAAGAATTAAGCCTTTTTTCCTCTTGCCTTGACCCAGATTAAATATGAACTGGTCACTGCACTGTGTTACTGAAAAATGAAGTCAGTCTAAACGAGAAGAAAACAGCAGCAGGACATTTGGCTATGACCAACTTTATCTCCCCAGCACTCTGCAAACTTCAATCCCGTTGATTTTGAGGGCACACTCAGGACCTTACAGCCATGTGCTCAAGAGGAGCTGGACCCTGAGGCTCTTCTAACCTCTGTTCCACCACAGACTCGAGCGATGGAGCCAGGCTGTGGGAAGACCCTCCTGTGGAGCCACCCAGGAACACAGTGGGAGGGCTGCCCTGGGCGCGAGGTTGCCCACATACTGACACAGAGACTTTCCGGTTAATCCTCTGGGACAATTTCCCATTTGTTTGCATTGCTTTAAGCTCAGAGCCGATCTACCTGCCCCACTGCTCTCCTCAAGTCAATAGGGCCAGTCTACACTCAGCTCGTAGCCACTGGCTCCACCAAGAACCTGCTGCGGATTTCTGAGGAATCAGAGGACGTCAGTCCCCACTGAGTGCAAGGGAGAAGAAAGGCAAGTATTGCCAGGGGGTCCCATCTCCCAGATATTTTCTTCACTTGTGGGTACTCTGAGACAAACTCACCTCTGCCCTTAAGTGTTATTCCGCTCCTGATCCTGCTGAGTACTGAGCGCTCAGGCCTAAGCACAATCAAAACCTCAGCCTAGGGATTCACAAAAAGGACTTTAGCCCTCTGACCCTCCGACAGGGAGCAACATTGCGCATGTTACCACAAGACACTACAAAAAGATCACGGCCCATCCACACCAAGCAAAGCAGAGACAAAACATGGGCTTCTTACAAACAGGTTTATTTGCATTTTGACTGGAGCACAGATTCTAGATACAGATTTCTTCTGCACAACAGTACAATAGCCAGTGCAAAATATGCTTTTTTTTTTTTTTTTAAAATTCATGTACAAAAAAACCAACCAAACAAAAAGACAAAAAGTGTGGCAGTATTTACTCACAACTGGTATGCCTCAGCCTCCAATCTACCCACCTCCACTTACCCTCACCCACCAACACCGACTTCTTGGTCAGCATCACCTATCTGAAATGGCTGCGTTGTCAGTGAAGAGAGGTAACTCCCATAGCCCTTTGAAAGATAAACACTCACCCCAAGCAAACTGGGAAAACAGCAGGCTACTTTAAAAAGTTAGACGCACCAGCTGCTTACCAATGAGTCCCCCCAAGGGAGCAGAATAATTTTGAGGGAACTGCAAAAACATAAAAGGCACAAATCGGGAAATGCACAAAAAATCAGGCATCAGCTTAACTCATTTTTAGACAGAGGCAAGGATGTTAAAATACACCTCTGGTCTGCCTTCTCATATTCACCCACAGTAGCAATGATCAAGGCCAAACAAACGCTCCCCGCTTTGAGTACTCTGTACTGTCAAACATTATAATCTTAATAAAATATTGTATTACTAGCATAAAAGTTAAACCATTTCATAATTGGAGGAGGAAATGAAGCTACAGTCTGAATACACATTTTTTGTTTTTAGAACGGTTAAAACCAAAAACAGAAACAAACAAAAAACCTGTCCCAGTCATCCACCAGATGATTGTCAGAATTATAGCCAATGCTTAAGCAATACAACACCAAGCTAGGAAAGTCATCATATGGTTGTTCCGTTTAGAGAATAGCTCTTACTAATTTACAAAGCATTGGGCAATCTATTTTTCTTTAATTTTCAGAAGCTGCAATATAGAACTGCAGTGTTAGGGTAAGAATATGCTTGTCTTCACCAAGGCCTGCAATTTATATTGCAGAAATGCATCAAATTTACACCATTCCAAGTGTACCATATTCAAATCACCTAAAGCCACAATTATGAACTTTTACATATCTACCCAAGGAATGGCTGGGTTTCTAAGCTTGATCAACCTTTTACATTGAATTGCAATTAAACAAAGCAGAGTACCAGTTAAAGCCAAAAGACACAAGTACTCAGCACATATACGTGTTGATACATTTACAGTATGTATTTATATATATATGCATAAATATGTATATGTTACATTACTAGGAGAGTGCCATTCAAGACTTTCCAACTGCAAGACTCCCTTCACCACCTGCATATCTTCAAACTTCAGCCCATTGTATTTCACTCCAAGATAACGAGAGCTCGAGTATATTCCAGACTGAATCATTATTTCAGTTTTAGCCAATTAACCAAGTAGGACCAGCTGAGAGAACAGGAGCTTTAATTTTACTAAAGCTGATCCTGCCACCTCAGGTAGATGGCACAAATTTCTATCACCAGATTATTTTTGCCTTCCACCTCCTACCTTGGACTGTCGTTCAATGGCATTTCTAAGAGTTCTCAGACCATCTCAGACCAGTCAAGTACTAACAGATTTGTATCAATTTACTCAATTGCCAGAGAAAAGGCATCAATTTATGAAATAATTTCAGATCAGCCAGTGTGGATCAGTCTAGAGCCCAGGCCCCAGCACTGGCTGGAGTCACCGTGTTTTTATTCATGGTACGATTCCCCACCCATTTCACCCCTAGCAGGCCCACTTCTACTCACAGGCTGTATCATGAGAGTCATTGACAAGGGGAAAATTTGGGATAGCATACTGATTTGTTACGATTCTTAAAAACCAGAGATTTATAAAGGCCTGTTGCACAAATTTCACATGTAGAGTTGAGAAAATGTCTCATTTATATTACTCTGAGCAGCAGATTTCATGTTACCTTTCTTTTAAGGAAACAGGGCAAAAAAAAAAAAAAAAAAAAAAAAGCAAGATTAACTGCAATAGTACCTTCCAGGCACTTAACAGTACTGTAAATACAAAGCCCCATTTGGCTGTTTAGATATGGGCAGGGTGGGAGATGCTCACCTCCCTTGCATTTAGCTATCCAGAATTGAGATATCCTAGCCCAGATTAATCACTTATGCTTCCTCTAGTCTTGGACCCAAAAGCTCTCTTCCAGAGGCTGTCACATGCTCAGATAGGGTGAATGAATCCCTCTCCAGAGATGCCAGTCCCTGTGTAACTGCAGACAGTTCAAGTGATTAGCTAGACTACCTGCCACTGACACAGGTAAAGAAATGAGACAAGTCTCACTCGTCACTTCACACAAGCCACTAAAATAAATCCTGAAGACTTTGCTTTGTTTCTGCATGGAAAAAACTCAGCAGCCTCAATGGGCCAAGGGTTTGCTTTTGTGTTTTTGGGAAGCAGAGGGCAGGCTTTGTCTGCAAATCTAGGAATCTCACACTAATGTTGCTTTGACATTCTTATAACCACCAAATTAGGTGTCTTACATCTTCATGGATCTATGTGTCACTTGAGCACAATCTTCCCAATTTCTGCTGGGACTACAGAGGCTCAGAAAGGACTATAAGTACTCGGTCAGTTAAGTGTAGGCCTTAAACACACATTATACAACTTTACAAATAGGCTAAAACAGACAAAACAGTAGAGTCCACCCAGTAGGACATTCATAATCTATATGATTGTTTACTCTGATATACCTTGTTAAAGGACGGAAAGGGGAATAAGAGATATTGTCAGATTCACCCTCCTATCAGTATAAAATAATTTGATTTGAAAAAATCTAAATATAACAAAGCCCTAACAGAGAGTAATTTTTGCTCAAAATCAATCAAGTGCTACTGAAATAGCATTAGGACTTTTGCATCTACTTCCTTATGGGTAAGATTTGTTTTTGAAATAACCAAGAACAAGTTACATTTTAAAAAAATAAGCACAGTTCTTAGCCCCTCACATTGAGAGCAAAAGGCGCCTCTATCCTTTCTTCACACTGCTGCATTATAGTCACACTGCTGCTATGTCCCCCGAATTACAGTGCTATTCCATGTAAATGGACAAAAGATTGGACTATATTCCATGTGGCAACTCCACTGCTTCTTTTAAATCCATCTCATTTGATCAGATTCACTTATCCGAGTTCTATGCAAACAGTATCTGTGCCAGATATTGGCCAGTATTACAAAGTAGCATGAAAAAGTGCAGCCAACATAGAAATTCCAAAACATTTTCTATTAAAAGAATACACAAAAGAAACCAAACAACAGCTACACAGAAAATTCAAAGGTGGACTTTCAAAACTAATCTGATACACAATAGCATGTAGGTAGCCACCTACTTGAAGCAAAGCTGGAATTTATTCCTCATTTTGAAAGGCAACTTTAACAGTGGAGTCACTAAGCAGACGCCTCTGTGCCCAGGGCACGCAGGTGCTCCCCCAGCTAGGTATATGGCACTGCAGAGAAAGTTTCAGAGCCAGAGTAGTGACAGAAATTGCTAAGACAGAAAAAGGAATCTCTACAGTGTTATTTGGTCTAAGTCAACAACAATAACTTTTGTCATTTATGTACTTAATTTTCCTTGGAGTGGAGTGACACAAAAGAGAGAAACCTCCATCTTCCACCATGATTTTGCCTTTGGATTTAAAGAGCTCCTAAGCTTCCTGAGAGAGTGCCATAAAAGCCAGTCGAGAATGGCTATGTTTGTGCAACCCCATCAGTGTGCAAATAAAGGTTTTGGCTACACAAAAGTTTTGACTCCTCTTCCACTGCTGTTTCACGTGGAGGCAGGACACCTGGACATACCGCCCTCACATGGGTCAAAGATGGACATGGTCTCTCACCTTCCTCTCAGAAAGACGGCATTTCTCATCTTCCATGAATACATTTCCTTCCCTAGGTTGCCCCCCAAGTGCGTACGGCCTCACCGCCATCCAGCACTTACAACTTTCTCACCTACACAGGCTGGTTCTCATCCCATAAAGCCTACTGCAGCCTCAAACTCCTTTGCGTCAGGAATCACCATCTTCCACAGCCTGGGCTATCCATATTTTCCGTATTTTCTGGATAAATGCTACGATTCATGGAGCATCCAGGACAGCCAGTTGAGCAAGATCGTGCCCAAGTACGCAATGTTACTCAATTAGCCAAGTTGGCTGGAGGTTTTCCCATTGTAACACAATTTTTCTATTCTAGTATTATTTTTAGTGTAAAAAAAAAAATGGGAGTGGGTGGGTTTTTGCACAAAACTTGATGCTTTTAATGAAAAAAAGGTTGCTTTTCCTCAATATTTTGCTGTTTATTTCTGCGGAGAAAACTTGAAACATTTCATTTCGGTCAGATAAATATTAATCTGTGTCTGTCAGAATTCCTCCAGTGTCAGCTGGGAGCTGTAATTCAGCTGCTGCATGTCCCCATCTTTCCCAGAAGGCTGGACTCCCAGGCATCCCTCCAGCTTTCCTGACGCATTCCCTCTTTGACTAACCCACAGTAGTGCATCATGGGATCTGTAGTCCAGCCAGAGAACTCAGCCTCAGGGAAGACATGGAGCACGAAGCACTTCAACGGTGATTTCTGAGGTCTGCAACAGTAGCTCAAACTGACGCTATTTTAAGAGTCAAATGGATTTAATCAAATGTTTCCATTCTGAAACGCTAGAACATTTTGTTCAGCATTTTCCAACAATTTTTTTTTGGGGGGGGGGTGGGAGGAGAGAAGGATTTCCTTTCCAAGAAAATTTTTGATATTCCAGCTTTCCATCTCAATTCAGGGAAAAATGAAATGTTCAAGTAGCAGAATTTCATGCTAGATGGACATTCAGTTTGGGAGACAGCCTCATTAATCAGCTGCCAAAATTGAAATGACTCCACCTGTACAAGAAGGGTGTGATGCATTTTGCCTTTGACATCAGTAGAAGCCACTTTTTCAGCTTAATGAAGCCTGGATGGCATTCCAAGACACCAAGAGAGGGTGGAGTTGACTGTAGTTGTAGATATTTGAAACAGGAGCCAAGAGTGAAATAGCAACAACGTACGAAGCAGCAACTAAGATTTTCCATTACCTGAACTCAGTCAAAACTTTTTTCGACTTACTTGAGTAAGTAATAGGAGGAGAAAATCATGAAGACCATAAAACCTAATCCCCAGTTAGAGCAAAAATAGCAATTAATTAATGCTTTGTTGAGTAGAACAAATCCATAGCATGAATTTTTCATGAGCTCTATAGCTTTCAACATTCAAAACATTTCCTCAGAAAGCTGTTGTACATGCCATTCAAGCTTCATTCCAAAGCTACAGTACAGTAATGAACTGCTTGCTTCAGGTTGTCTGTCCTCCCCTGAACCATGCAAAATTATCCTGTTGTACAGGTATCCATTCTCTCCTTACAGAGTTTGAGCACATCTACAGGGAGGCAGCAGCTAAGTGTGGACTTCCAGGGTAGACACTTTGGGTGAGGACTGGGCACCAAATCCAACTTCCACATTGCCTATTCTGCCCCTGGATTCAGCCCCAAGCCCTCCATCTCAAAGAGAGTAAAAAGAGGAGCCCCAGGGAGCCTAAGTTCATCAGCAACAGGGTGTGTGTTGAAAGCAGGAGAGCACTCAGAACTGTAAATAAATCAATTCACCCAACCACGAGGGGTCTAGAGAATTGGGTTTTGTTTATCTTTAGTTATCAGACGTTTCTAAGCAATAAGCAGAAACCTCAACAATTTTCAAGTCTGGAGAGGAAGGGAGGGAGGAAGAAACTTGTACAAGCTTTGAGGATGTTCTCAGCTCCAGCTTCCAAAAAAAAATAAAAACAAAACAAAACAAAAAACCAAAATAAAACAAAAAACAAAACAAAACAAAACCCCAAAATGTGTATCTGTAAAAGCAAGTTTTGCCTGAAGCTGTTTGGTAATTCTTAGGTCAAAGGAGCGTTTTATCCAAAAGGTTCTTCATGTTTCCAGTCTAGGTTGTAGCAATCTCAGTGAGGCACTAAATTTTAGGCTGTTAAAGTCTTTCTACGCAGCATGGTCATTTTAAAATGATGTGGTAGCCATCATTGCTTTCAGCTGTAACAAAGAAAGGCAAAGCATTTTTTCATTGCTTTTAGAAAACAGCACAGCTGTATAACTCTAGGTTTTCTTCTTAGGTAGTTTGCAATAGTTTGCACTCTTGTTCCATGACCCATTCATGGAAACTGATGTTCAACATCTAAGTCAAATCATTTGCATAAAAAATACAACATATAAACTGTCATCTTTTAGCATTTTACTACAAGATGTTCTGCTCGTTTACCTCAGTGGCATCAATAGAATTAGGCGAGCTTTATAACAGTGTAACTGAGAGGTAAGCATAAATCAGTCTCTCAGATTTATGGAACACCAATGACTGCCACCAGACTAGATGACTTCTCTCTTCAGGATACCAACACTGAGTTTGTAATAAAGTTGGTGAAAAAGTTTAATGGAAAGGTGAAGTTAACTTTAGAAGTGTATGTAAAAGCAGCAGCAATACATACCTTTTAATGTGCTGATAACAAAACAAGATTCATCTTGGAAGTTTTGCACCATCTGAGCGGCAGAAGGAAAAAAGCCAGCACAAAATGGTTTTAGCAATTTAGCTGAAGTTTAGTTCTTTCAATGCTAGTATAAACTTTAAAGGAAAGTTATCAAACAACTGTTTCTACACAGTTCTCGGTGTCCTTGCCCATAAGAGTATTAAAGTACACAAGTGATTAATTAGAGTCCTTGCAGCTGCTAATGTGCTCAAGAGAAACATGTATTGAAGTGCTTCCTTGGAACTGATCTGGCTTGTTCAGCATTTTACCATCCTCTTTGCTTGTCTTGATCCGTAAGTTCTTATACCGCTCCAGCTAGATCTATTAAAGATCATGCTCTTAATTGCCTTCAATGAAGCTGTACCAGTTTAGCTTGGATGTAGACAGTTCCTCTCCTAAAGACTAGCAGAGGTAATACACAACACACACACACACACACATTCAGCTGAAGCATAAAGATCATTTGAATTTATACGAGCATCTGATTTAATATCTGGAGGTGGTCAGCATTGAGAAATGGACTCCTTGCTAAATAAAGGAATATCATTACTAAGAAGTCATCTCAGCAGCATCCACCTGTTTATTCTGACTAGATAAAAGTACAGATCTGTGCTTGTATGAATCATTTACCTGTTTGTATTTACCAAGGCACAGGCATCTTAATATGAGAGGCAAGTAAGATTAGTATCTAAAGTTATTTTAGTTATTCATGAGAAGCAAATAGATTTTCAAAACAGATGCAGGTTCTAGTGAGGCCCCTAACTAAGGAAGCAGTGTTAAGAGATTCAGTTCACTCTAATCTGAACTACCCATTTAAGCTTCATCTGTAGTCAATGTTTCATCCCATTCTAGAGCAGCTAACTGGGACAGAGGGAGGTGTCTCCTACAGATGGAGCAGACAATGGACACCTAACCTTGGAAGGGAGGTGACCAGAACCCTTCATGATGAGCCCAGAAAATCCAGCCTTAAGTGAAAGCCTTCTCCTAGCTACTAAACATTGTTCAAGTGGAGCATTTTCCAGCTGTAAGTTCTCACACCAGACATCCTTTCTACCTCAGACTAATCTCACTATTCTCTTTCTCAGGTGAACATCTACAGCTCCCCCCATCCCACAAATCAAACTTCACTGGCCAGTCCGTGTGCCTGTGCCTAATGATGCATGAAGTACATTCATATAGTGCTTCACTCTTGCCACTCTACTACTAGAACAAGAAAAAACAAAAATAAAGCAATAGATGCTGTTAATAATTGACTCAAATATATACTTACAGCCCCCTTACACCCAGACTGGTAGAGGCAATTCCCCTACCAAGAGTTGCCTCCAAGCACTTTATGTCCGTAAAGCATTAAGGTTTCAGATTTAATCAGGCCAAATAGCAAGGAGACTTTAGGAATAAGCATTACCGCCTTCAGTTTAGGCTCCAGTTGAGACCTATGCTCTGCTTCATTTGTTTTAACAATGTTTCTTCTAAATGAAGCTCCTTAAGTGATTCTAGGGCATGAATGAGTAAGTCATTTAGGGAAAAAAAAGAGGAAGAAGGGCAACTCACTATTAACCTGCAAGTTAATGGAATGGACTAAATGAAGCCATCATGTAATGCGACACAAACAGCTAGCAGAGGTCCATGAAATCATAGTATGCACTTACACAGCGCTGACTCTGACCCAGTGGCTGTAATGAATGGCCAAGATTTAAGACTACTTATCTACAGATTTTCAAATTTGCCCTTTTGAGGAAATCTTCCTGTTCAACTTTAAAACATCTCACTTCAAATCTTCACTTCAGAATTTGTTCAAGCAGCCAAAATGAAATTTGGCCATTTTCAAAAACTTCTCTTAAAAGGCAAAGATCTCAAGAGCACACCAATGGTATGCATTTACTTTGACTTTTAAAGATTAGTAACCTTGCCAGTTCCCTTGAAGAGTCATTCCATAACTGAAGCCATCACTCCAACTCCAAGAAATCAGACAATGCCTGTTACGGCTCTGATATCTCATATCAGATCCTGAGTTTGCTTTAACCCCTTACCTCATTACTCACTAACACATGGATCCCTGTGGGTCCCTGCCGATAGATTCTGTTTATCTGCTGTGGAGAAATGCTGTACAAGTTTGCAATCTTCTCCACTAATTCCAGGGTGGTCAGCTCTTCCAAGAAGATTGCATGATATACTGCAACAAGTTGGAGAGTGATTATTAGAGTTTGTAGTGATTACAGACAACACCGAGATGCTCAATGTCAAACAACCAAATGGGTTTAAGATCAAAGTTCAAATCTGGAGAGTAGGTAAACAAGCTTAGTACTTGCAAAGCAGCCCTTAAATATACAGCTTGGTGACTGGAACAAAAATACCCAGTATTTGGATGCCGAGGACAAATAAAACCCAAAGGAAAACACAGGGACTTATGACACCATGGGGCACTAAAAAAAAATTATCTTACAATGCTGTTAATACTCTAAGGTACTTTTTCCGATTCTGGTATTCTAAAATAGGTGCCGTTCAGTAGTAAGACACACGATACGCTATTACCCCGAAACAGTATTTTTTTTTAGATACTGTTGTACCATAGACCCCATAAGCAGAAACTAAAAACTACGATGTCCTGGATAACAATATTAATTTCTAAATCTGATCCAACTGGTAGCAACAATGAGGTAGAAAAGCCGTGCCTGATTGACAGTCAGCGTGCAGGAACTATGGAAAATTTCCATTCTCATTCTATCGTACTTCTGGAGAAGGTTTTGAGAGAGAGGAGAGAAGGTTTTGGGAGGTTAGGAGCTGCAAGCCTCCAAAAGCTTTGAACTTTCTGGAATTAGAACCTCACTTCAAGACATAACTACCTTCCATTTTCCACAATGTTTTCTAAGATCTACAAGCCATAATCTACAAGCAAATTGTGGATATCATAGTAATTTTTAATGCTATCGTCCCTGTAAGAAAAGGACAGTGCCTTTGCTGTGGTATTCTGTAGATAACTGTAACTCAGATGTAAGATATCAGACATACATAGCTCCTGTTCTCAAAAGCAAATTCAAGTTTTTTCTTAATAAAAGATGCTGTTTGGTTTTCTTTCCTAAAGCAACCCATAGAGCCACTAATTGGTGTACTACAATGACAGCCACCTACACTTTTTCATTTTCCAAAAGGGTTTTGCCTCTCAAGTTTGCATTACAGCTTCTGAGCTGTCTGTCTGTTCGCACCTCTGCCGGGCTTAGGTTACCTGCTTTCATGGGGTTTTTAACAAGACATACTGATTGTCTGAGTAACTGATTAAACAATGATATTTCCAGATGTCAAATGTAGAAACTTTACTGTCTGCTTGAGGCAGCCTCAAGTCTGCTCTGAAATCTGACAGATGACCTGGACATGGTATGTCATAGGTCACCCTCAGAAAGATGAAGAACATCTTTACTTTTGCCTATTTTTTTAATATTTATACTATAGAAAAGCCAAATATTTCACAGCTCATGCTTCAGAAGACCCTGCTCTCTGAAACAACTAAAAGCAATAGCAAAAAGTGTTTTGGTAAATTCTGAAAGGAAATCTACCCAGATTGGTCAGAATAATTCTAAGACAGGGGAGTCTGTGAGCTAAGTTCATCTCTGATTTGGTCAGCCCCAATGACTTCAAAAAAGAAGTAGCATTAACATAAAATGCCACATGCCTGCTATGAAATGGCTTACAGGAGATCAGACTTCCCAGAAGTACAGGGCTGGCTGGGAAGAGGGGGAGAAATGAAATATTCTGTTCTTCTCTGTAATATTGCACTGGCAGGTGCCTACATACACTTGACCAGCAAGCCTTCAAGCTGCCCTGTACTGCAGACTTTCCTCCCTCCCTGACTACATTCCATTTCAAACAAGCTAGGTCTATTCCTCAGGCTGATGGCATTAAAGTTGGAATCAGTAGCATTGAAACTAGCCTAACAGTGACAAAAACAGGACAAACTGGGTCTCTTTAAACATGCAGGATGCCAAGCTGTCCCACACAGGAGCTCAGGCACAAAGCAGCACTCTTACCAGACAAGTGCTTAATAATATCCACACATAAAAACTTACCACACAGACTGCCGTCTCCATTCTCTCGTTTTTGGTGAAGATGGGACCTGTTTTGCTCCGGTTCTTGACAGACATAAATTGTCATCTTGGGCCTTACATTTCTATGGATTATTAGAAAACAAAGGTGAGTTCTTCAGTAGATCTAAAGTTGTTCCAGTAAGCAACCAAACACTGAAAGATAGAATCATTCAGGCCTTAACAAATAACTAGCTAAGGGATAGTCTCAAAGCTGGTGACAAGGTGTCTCAGAAGGTCTAATAGGAGTCCTCCCAGGAGGTGATGGTAGAGCACAGAGTACTCTAATCTCTTCAGGATCAAATAAGAAGAAACTGTATTCAGCACTTGCCATACTTTCATTTATTGGTTTGAATCCTGCCCAGCTGGAGAATTTATGATGCTATTGCCATGTAAGTTGGTCTGAGAGTCATTTGAGGGTCCAGGTGACAAAAATCTAAGATGGGGTATCACAGGTTGTGTCTCATATGAAGTGGACGGAAGCTTTCAGCTGGTAGAAAATAAACCACCGGAGATCCACATTATGCCACTCAATTTTTACTCAGGTGTCAGTTTGGCAGCATTTCTGAGCTGCACTTGGATTTGAATCCCACTGTGAACTCCAGCTTCTAAGATGACCTCTTTGAAGTATTACAGAGGAGGTCTACATATTACAGCTTTAGGATTAACTTCGGTTAACACGGAAGATACCAAGGGAAGTTGCCATAATACAAAAAAAAAAAAAAAAAAAAAAAAAAAAAGAGGGGGGGAATACAAACCTTCCTTTGATTGCATTAAAGAGCCGAATTCCATCAGCAGGCCCACAGATTTGAACAAAATCTTCTTTGGACATCTTCAGTAAGTCAGCACCTACATATTTAAAATATATTTTTCAGAAGTTAAGCAAACCTTAGCTTCCAAACTGTGTGTATGGGCAGCAGGAGCTGGGTGGGGGAGAGAATCTACAAAACTAAATCAGACAGACTTGCCAAGAGAGGTTGCAAATTCAGAGAAGCGTATGCTGCAAATCAATCACTGTGAAACAGAAAGCTAGAAGCAGCCAGAAGAGCAGTGGTTCACAGGAAGATATTCTAGCCAACACAGATAAAAGTTAGCTATTTAACTAAATGGCCCTACTTTTATAAAATCTGCCACGTTCACCAGGTTATTTAAGTGTCTTGCAAGCAGACTGGAAGTCTGAGACAGGCTCCTCAAGGTCTGAAGTTCTTCACCACTTCCCCTTTCTTACCATCTTACTGCTGTTTTCCACTACCTAATAGGAGGGTATGTGAAGACGGAGCCAGACTCTTCTCAAAGGTTCACAGTGACAGGACAAGGGACAGCAGACGGAAGTTGGAACAGGGTAAATACTGATTAGCTCTACAGAGAAGCGTTTTCACTATGGGGGTAGTTAAATATTTGAAGAGGTTGTGGAATCTCTAACTTTGGAGATATTCAAAACTCAGCTGGACAAAGCCCAGAGCAACTTGATCTAATTGGACTTGCTTCAAGCAGGGGGTTGGACCTAATGAACTCAATAAACCCTTCCAACCTAATTTACTCTATGATTTTATGATCTATCTGTCAAATGCTAACTAACCTAAAAACAAAACAACAATCATGCTGGGTAAGACCAACAATCCTATCTAGAGTGGCCAGCAGCAGATGCTCTTCATAAGAAGCATAAGCTGCACTCACAAAACAGAATATGACAAAATATTTGGACTGTTTAAACTCACCCGAGAAACTTGAGAAGAGTCTACAGAATGGAGAAAACCTATTACGATGTAGCCACTGCTGGGCATCTTGAATAGAAGCAGAAGGAAGGAGATGCTACATTGCAAAAAGAATAAGAAGGTCTTGAAATGAACTGTTCACCAGTGTCCTAAAAAAAGAAAAGCACCACATTAACATGATCTCATGTACTTACATCATTGCTGGGAGGCAGGAGCTCCACTTGGTGGGTTGGAGAACTGTTGCTAAAAAAAATTACATAAGGTTGGAAGAGAAAAAACATTATTTTATATTTTACATTGCATTGTCCATCCTCTTCCCCCCTTCTCAATTTGACTTAACTGTTACAAACTGTTACAAGTTTCACACCAACTTGGCAGTTTTCTCTCTTAGTGGCAGTTTTCTCTCTTAGATCAAGGAACACATGCCTAAAGTCTGGGCAAAAAAAAAAAAAAAAAAAAAAAAAACACAAAAAAAACCCCCCCCCCCCCCCCCAATTTGCAATTTGAGCCTTTTGTTGGTCAGCTGAGGTCCTACTCAACACTGAGAGAATAACTGGGTTTCCTTGAACTCATTCAAGCTTTCCATATGGTGACTCACTAATGTTACACCATCTAAGCAAGAAAGTTTTGATTTGCCAACATGGCTGAACTCAAACATTTTATAAGCGACAAAACTAACTAAATCCATTGTCTAATAAAGATTCTTTACAAAAATTGAGTTAAGAAAGGACCTTGTAACATACACCTGGTATTATTTTAAGTGCAGTGAGTTGCTGTTAAACTGTATTAGACCAAAGCATGTTTCTAATAAACCCATCCTCAACATGGGCAGGACTTTAACAAGCAAAGAATTTGTCCAAAGAGTTAATA